GCTGACCCCTCCGGGGGTCCGGTCCTTGCGACCTCCACCACTGCCCTCCCTTGTCCTGCTGTCCCGTCTGGCACGCTGTCGGGCCTCTACCTCCCCTCGTTCTTCTACGAACTTGGTGGCGGGTTCCGCGCTCCAGGACGCGGGTGTTCACCAGTTCACCCCGGCCTATGAGCGTGTGACGCACTACACGTGTGCCCAGACGGGTCGTCACCTGGCTACCTTCACTCAGCAGCCGGGGTCGGACCTGTACACACTGACCACTGAGTCCCCTCAGGTAGCTGCGTCTGCGTCTGCGTCAGGTCAGCTGTCGGTCCCCTGCTCGTGTCGCTCCCTGTCGCACAGGACTGTCCTCTGGCACCACCGCCTTGGTCACCCGTCAGTGCAGCGCCTTCGCGGCATGCACTCCAGGTACCTTGTCTCTGGTCTTCCCAGGGTTCTCCCTCCCCTGCCACCCTCGCCTGCTCCTCCCTGTCTTCCTTGTGTCGAGGGGCGGCAGCGCGCCACTCCCCACTCTTCCTCGTTCCCTCCCACAGAGGCTCCCCTGCAGACTCTCCACCTGGACGTGTGGGGCCCCGCCCGCGTCCGGGGACAGGGCCACGAGCGGTACTTTCTGCTGGTCGTCGACGACTACACGCGCTACACCACGGTCTTCCCCTTGCGTACCAAGGGTGAGGTCCCTGATGTCTTGATCCCCTGGATCCGCGCTGCTCGTCTCCAGCTCCGCCAGCGGTTCCAGTCGGACTTTCCTGTCCTACGTCTGCACTCTGACAGAGGTGGTGAGTTTTCCTCTGACCTCTTGGCAGCCTACTGTGCGGAGCACGGCATCCGCCAGACGTTCACTCTCCCGGCCTCTCCGCAGCAGAATGGGGTTGCTGAGCGCCGCATTGGTCTCGTCATGGAGGTTGCTCGTACCTCCATGATCCATGCGGCTGCCCCCCATTTCCTGTGGCCGTTTGGAGTGCAGTACGTCGCGCATCAGCTCAACCTCTGGCCCCGTGTCTCTGTTCCGGAGACCTCGCCTACCGTGCGTTGGACGGGGGAGGTTGGCGATGCGTCGGTGTTCCGGGTCTGGGGATGTCGAGCCTTTGTCCGCGATACGTCCGCGGACAAACTCTCCTCCCGTGCCGTTCCCTGTGTCTTCCTTGGCTTTGTCCCTGACGCGCCTGGCTGGCAGTTTTACCACCCCACCTCACGCCGTGTCTTCGCCTTTCAGGACGTCACCTTTGACGAGTCGGTACCCTTTTACCGTCTCTTCCCCTACTGCACTGCCCCGCTCCCTCCCCCGCCGCTCTTCCTCACCCCAGGTGTCCCGTCGGTAGACCCCCTCCCTCCCCAGGGTGCTGCTCCCTTAGGTGTTTCCCAGGTAGACCCGGTCGAGCCTGTCGAGGTAGCTGTTGACTCTGGTCCTGCGCGAGGTGCTGAGCGTGCTGAGCCTGTTGGTGCTAAGTCTGGGGGCACTGAGACTGGGGGTGCTGAGCCTGGGGGTGCGGAGACTGGGGGTGCTGAGTCTGGGGGTGCGGAGACTTTGGGTGCTGAGCCTGGAGGTGCTGCGACTGGGGGTGCTGAGCCTGGGGGTGCTGAGACTGGGGGTGCTGAGACTGGGGGTGCTGAGACTGGTGGCGCTCCCTCTTCACAGCAGCTGCGTGAGTGGTACTCCCAGCCCTACAGCCTCCGTCGTGGGGCTACTGGAGCTGGGGGGTCTGCTGGAGTCGGGGCTGGTGGCCCCGCAGGTGCAGTGTCGCAGCCAGAGCCTCGGACGTCCTTGAGGACAGGCAGGAGGAGTTCCAGTGTTTTGCTGCTGCTTTGCCTCATCTCGTGTCCATGCTGATTGCCCCTGAGGGAGACCCGGATGCACCAGACATCCCGACTCCGCGCTCTTACGCAGAGGCGATAGAGGGTCCCTACTCCTCTCAGTGGCAGTCAGCCATGGACGCAGAGATGGCTTCCTGGAAGTCCACAGGCACCTACGTCGACGAGGTTCCCCCACCTGGGGCGAACATCGTCAGTGGCATGTGGATTTTCAGGGTGAAGCGGCCGCCGGGGTCTCCGCCTGTCTTCAAGGCGCGTTACGTGGCTCGAGGCTTCAGTCAGCGGCAGGGAGTTGACTACTTTCAGACCTTCTCTCCCACCCCGAAGATGACCACTCTTCGGGTGCTGCTGCACATAGCCGCTCAGCGCGACTACGAGCTTCACTCTCTTGACTTCAGCACAGCTTTCTTGCAGGGCAGCCTGCACGAGGAGATCTGGCTGTGCCGCCCACCTGGCTTCACTGGGTCGTTTCCTCCTGGTACCCAGGGGAGCCTCCGGCGACCAGTCTACGGTCTCCGCCAGGCGCCCCGTGAGTGGCACGACACACTGAGGACTACACTTGCGGCTCTTGGGTTTGCTCCTTCTATTGCCGACCCGTCGCTGTATCTGCGCACCGACACCTCTTTGCCGCCGTTCTACATCCTCGTGTATGTCGACGACTTGGTCTTTGCCACTGCTGACTCTGCTGGACTCACCCACGTGAAGTCCGAGCTGCAGAAGAGACACACGTGCACAGACCTGGGTGAACTGCGCAGCTACCTTGGCTTGCAGATCACCCGGGACAGAGCACAGCGCACCATTACCCTGACTCAGTCACACATGGTGCAGCAGGTCCTTCAGCGCTTCGACTTCATGTACTCCTCGCCTTAGGCCACTCCTCTGTCTACTCGCCACTCGCTCTCAGCTCTGCCTTCGGATGAGTCCGTAGAGCCGAGTGGCCCGTACCCAGAGCTTGTTGGCTGCCTCATGTACCTGATGACCTGCACTCGACCTGACCTTGCATACCCTCTTAGCATCTTGGCACGCTATGTTGCTCCTGGGAGACACCGACCAGAGCACATGGCTGCAGCGAAGAGGGTGTTGCGTTACTTGTGCAGTACGTCGGGCATGGGGCTAGTGCTTGGAGGGCGGCGTTCAGTGGTCCTCACAGGTCACGCAGACGCTTCTTGGGCTGACGACCAGGCTACGCAGCGGTCGTCACAGGGTTACACCTTCAGCCTTGGTTCCGGCTCTGTTTCGTGCCGGTCTACCCGCTCGTCTTCTGTTCTCGGCTCCAGCAGTGAGGCTGAGATCTACGCGGGGGCCATGGCTGCACAGGAGCTACGCTGGCTCACCTACTTGCTGACTGACCTAGGAGAGCCGCCTCGTTCTCCTCCAGTTCTGTACGTAGACAACAAGGCCATGCTGGCTTTGTGTCGGGAGCACAGACTGGAGCACAGAACGAAGCACATTGCTCTCCGCTTCTTCCTTGCTCGTGAGCTGCAGCAGCGTGGTCAGCTGCGCCTTGCTTACGTGGCCTCTGAGGCCAACACTGCTGATATCTTTACCAAGGCACTTCCGCCTTGTGATCATCAGCGCTGCTGTACGATGCTAGGTCTTGTGCCTACTTGGCCTCACTTGCTCACTTCTTGACCTTGCTTGTACTGTGATCTTTCTATACCTGCACTTGCTTGTTTACCTTTATATATGATCTTGCATGTGAACTGGCCTTGTGGCCTTGAACTTGTGCTCGGACTGTGTGGTGACGTTGTGATCCACCCTGAGTTTGCTTTGCTTTGCTTGACTGGTCTTGTGACCTCTTGTTCTCCCCCACTTTGTCTATGGGGGTGTGTCAAACTTATATACTATAGTCTGTGTAGGCTGTAGTGGGGTAGACAATATGGGGTACAACATTTTTAGGTTTTCCTACTTGTACCCACCTGTTTCCTAGTGCATTCATTCCTCATTCTTTCACACCATCGTGGCCACACCGATCTCTTCTTTTGTAGGATCGAGGGTTTTCCCCCCTTGTATTTTTGATCCTGTCACCCTGGGGTCGAAATCGAACCGCGATTGTTACCTCCTTCCAATCCTGCGATCGGTGTGCCCGATCGGTTTTTCACGGCAATCTCGAGATCGATTTAGGGAGGGGACGCAGCCCCACCCCAAACCAGGGTCTCACGTAGATCATTTGTTTTGCAGTAGATGACATTACCTTGGTTAGGATTGGTTGGCCCGGTGTAAAGAATGACGAGCGGTGTGACGAGGGGAGCGAAGGAAACACATATCCTAGTTTGTGTCCGAACCATCTAGGCACGGATGGTTTGGTTCCAAAGCTAGAACACCAGCAAAATGTTTGAGCATCCCGTCAGTCTCATGTACCATCAAAATGGTTTGCAATTGCTTCAGAGGCAAAAACGGGAGGTGTCGCATAGTCAATTGCCAAACCAACCCCTAGACTTCGCCACCTCAAATAAAGTGACCAAGCTTCAATTGTTTTGCAATTGATCACAATTTCTCTTACGTGAGACCCTGGTTTTATATCGCAACGAACGAGAATAGCCCCACCCTCGGCGCAGCTGCTGGAAGCCCCACCCCACACCACACAGCCCACGAGGTTTCGCGAAGCTCGTCGCCCTCCACCCTGAACAGAAATCCAGGCACGCTTCGTGACGGCTCCCACCGACCGACATGGATGCGAAGTGGAAAGCATCACGAGCCACACGAGATGACTACACCTTTCCTCCCATGTCATTATTGACAGTTCAGCTATGGCCTTGGTCAGCCTCGGTCCCACGCAGGTGGGACTCGGTGGATGCTCCCCTCACCAGATGCCACCTGTTCATAACGTCCGTCGTCGATGCCGTGATTTAGAGACCCAGGAGAAGTGCACGTCGCTCGGGCCCACGTCGCGTGTTTCTATTGGTTGGAACTTTACTTGTACTTCCCAGTGAGCTGGCTTTCTACGGCTATCGGCCATGGGTTGGGATGAGATGGAGGCCTGGCGCGGCGCAAGCGCACCCACACAATGCGCGACGCGGCATTTCAGCGACTCGCAACAGCGTGCCTCACGCAAAGCCGGGGCATTACGCTGAGTATAAAAGTCGCCCTATCAACCGAAACTACCATATTCACCGGTTTCTCTTTCTTCATCTGATCTACTCTCCGAGTCTCCCATTTCATGTAACCTTCGGTTTACAATACCTCGCACTATGGCGTCGCGAATCCCTGCTGCACTGGCGACACTGGCCGTGCTGCTCCTGTGCGTGTCGCTGCCTTTGAGCGCGGACGCGCACAACCACAAGCGCAAATACAACGGGCGCGTCGTGACGCGCAACCTGGTGGGCGCCGTGTCCGCCGCTAAGAACTTCTCCACGTTCCTCAACGTGCTGCGCCTCACCGGTGAGCCTCGCTCCTCGTACTCCTCTCCTCTCGCTCCCACCTGCACCGCTCCTTGGTTTGGTTTGAGCTCGCCACTGAACAGCACAACGCGCACGCTCCTCTGGTTCGAGTATGTCTTTGCCAGAAGCAGCAGCGCAGTATTATGCACCAGTGTTCTTGAGGATATCTGTCTGTTGCGAGAACGTTGCTTCCTCTGCCGTCCCATGCTGTTCACTCTGCCCTCGTTGCCCTCGCTGCCCGCGCTGCCCCACAGGCCTGGACAAGGAGCTGCCGGATCTGTTTGATCACTACGACGCCACCATCTTCGCACCCACGGACGCTGCGTTCGCCGCCGTGCCCAAGGCCACGCTAAGCGCGCTGCTCAAGAACGTGCCGCTGCTGCGCGAGATCGTGCTGCTGCACATCGTCAAGGGCAAGAAGCTGGCTGCTAAGATTGTGTCGCAGGGCAGGGGCCACGAGGTATGGCTCACTGCACGCCCTGCACTGCCTGCTTGCATTGCCCCCGTTGCCTTTGCTGTCAGCGCTTCCTTGGTTGACGTCCGGCACTGGCAGCGCCGCCAGCACTGCATTCCTCTCAAACCCCCCGCCCCTCTCTGTCCATCCTCTTTGCTCATTCCTCTTCCTTGCTCCCATGGTGCAGTATGAGACAGCGGCGGGCATGGGCGAGGCGGAGCTGGTGAAGGTATCAGCGCGTGGCTCGGGCAGGGTGCAAGTGCGGCCCGAGGATGGTGGTGCCACCGTGAGTGTGCACACACCCAACGCCGTGGTGCTGCGTACTGTTGTGGTGCACAGCGTGGCATCGGTGATCGTGCCCAAGAGCCCCAAGAAGGCCCGCAAGCAGCTCACGCTCAAGCAGTGCTTTGATGCCGCAGAGTTTGACTAGATGATGGTGGCTGCAGGCAGGGTACTTACCGGTACTGTGGGTGGTCATTGGTCAATAAGTGGCTTTAGCTTCATGCAAGCATGAGATGAGATGATTTAAGGAATGAATGAAACATTGCTAGAGTAGATGATGTTCCCCAAACTTAAAACCGGAGGTCCAAGAAGAGTTCCTAAGGAAGGTTGAGAAAGGGGAGAGAAAGGTGACTGGCTCGCGAGCTAGGGTGGTGTCGAAATCAGTGGTAGCGGGTCTTTAAGTATGAAAAAGTCGCGAATGTAACCAGATCTGGAATGCTACCGGTACGTCAGAACTCGTTTGCTGACTATTTCGGACGGGCTGCAAATGTGTTTGCGAAGTTGTCACCGCTATCGTCCTCGCTTGAGCAGTAATTTCGCTTGGCGAAAATCGTCCCAACAATTTGCGAGGAGAGCTCGGTATCAACTGGGTCACACCCAACCGAAGTTAGGAAGGTTGAGACAGTTTCGGACTGTTTGGGACCGATTTTAATAGTAACGATGCATGATTCCCATACAGAATTTAGCGGGCAATGCCAGTTCCATAGATTGAGGTTTAGCTCTGAGAATTATAGGGAGCTCCATTGAGAAAGCTTGCTTCTGTAGCAATTGGCATCGTTCTCATTACAATGGGCTCAAGTACAATAGTTCCTAGCAGTAATATAGTTGTATGAACAAAACAAGATGTGTAAGAACTACTACCGTATTCTCCCGGATAAAACACCCCCCCGTAATTGTACACCCCCGGGTAGCTTATACGGGGTGGGTGTTATATCCGACCCCGTTAGTACTATAACCCCCTTTTTGGGGTGATTCTCTATAACACCCCCCTTTTCTTATAAATTCCTATTACCGTATCACCCCGGATAGAAGCGCAGGCCTATGATAAGCGCGTGCGCTTCTATCTGGAGCAATGCGCTTATGGCCGATCCTCAATTATAAGCGCACCCCCTGTGAAAACATTACTTTTTATAAGCACATGTACAATTTTAAATCAAAATCTCTGTTTAAAACTTTAGCGAGTTTCAATTTCGAAGCGAGTACAATCTCATTTTCGCCTAGCTTGACTCTCGAAGACCTGACTGGCTGCGCGTCCAATCAGGATGTGCTGGCATGACTGCAAAGTGTCGCATCTTGGCCCCTCTGTGCTGGAAGAGAATCGCTTGCATGCGATTCTGCTTTGTGACGGGAAAAAAAAACGACTCGGTTGAAATGGCAAGAGTGAAATATACAATTTGGTGTCTTAAAATTACAATTCAATGTCATAATATAAGCTCATGCGCTTATACAAATGACTCAATTACAAGCGCACCCCCCTAAAAAACACTGTTTTATTATAAGCGCACCTGCGCTTTTATCCGGGGTGATACGGTATAGCTGTTATCGTGTCCGATTCCTTACGGGAGGATATCGCGAAAATCACTCCCTAGAAGAAATTTCGCATGTACTTTCACTTAGAATCAGCCGAGATATCCCCCCTCCCACAATCTCGCTGTCGCCACGCTGGTGAATCCCAAAATCTCGCTGTCGCCACGCTGGTGAATCCCAAAATCTCGCTGTCGCCACGCTGGCGAATCTTCCACTGCAAGTGGTCCAAGAGGTGAAGTGGCCCAAGTGGCCTACAATATCCTCGTACTCGGTTTTGCGGCATTGATCAACAATTGTGACACGACTCTCCGAGGAGTGTGCAGTGCAGTTGGACCGTGAGCGAGATATATGCTCGCCCGTATACCATGCGCCCACGTAGTGCCGTCTGGGCAAAGTAGTGGCCACCAGAAGGCGCTAGGCCATTCCGGGATAACGAGAGTTATTGTAGTACGAGATCGACGCGCGTGGGCGAGGACGGCGGGGATCATGGACGGCGGTGGGAAGGCGTAGCAATTTTCACCGTTCCAACTAAGAGAGAACGCGTCTTGGGCGACCGCATGCGGATGATAGTCTAGGGAGCAAAACCGGCGTAATTGTGCGTTGGAGGACGAGGAAAATAGGTCGATTGAATGTGGGCCCCAGCGGCGCTCGAGTAAAAGGAACCACGTCCTTGCGAGAGAGTAGTCGTCGTGTAGGTCAATCTTTGAAAGGGCGTCGGCTTCGGTATTGAGTTCGCGGGGGATCCATTGCGCCGTTAATCGAATCTTGTGATGCACACAAAGTGTGATAATGGCGCGGCAGATGAGAGTGAGGTTGGCTTGGCGAGAACCACCCTTTTTTAGAATATAGTAGGCCGCTTGACTGTCGCTTCGAAGTAGGACGTGCGAGCGTTGGATCTCGCAGCTAAAGGTCGACAGTGCCCAGAGAATCCCGGCGAGTTCGCGAAGCGTGCTCGATGCGACTGATAGTGACTGGGGAAATCGGAAGGATTGCGAGCCGACACGGCCATCTGGCGTGGAGTAACAGCTTCCCCAAGCATGGTCGCTTGCATCGACGTACATGACGATGTCGTACACATTTGGGTTGTGGAAGCAGGAACCATTGAAAACGTCGAACTGTGTCAGCCAGAATCGCAACTCGTTGATCGACTCCGACGTCAAACGGATGGAGTTGAGAAAAATGAACGAGGAATGAGTGGACTAAGGGAAAGTTGGGTACAAGTGCAAACCCTAGAAAGCTGTACCCCATATGTGCTACCCCACTATAGCCTACAGCAGCTAAGTCATATAAATCTGACACACCCCCCTAGGCAAAGTGGGGGAGGACAAGGGGTCAAAAGACCAGTCAAGCAAAGCAAAGCAAGCTCAGGGTGGATCACAACGTCACCACACATTCCGAGCACAAGTTCAAGGCCACAAGGCCAGTTCACATGCAGGATGACATATATATATAAGGCTAAACAAGCAAGAGCAGGAGTATATATATATGTAACAGTACAAACAAGGTCAAGGGGTGAGCAAGTGAGGCAAGGTAGGCATAAGACCCAGCTGAGTACAGAAGCGCTGATGATCACAAGGCGCAAGTGCCTTGGTGAAGATATCAGCAGTGTTGGCCTGAGAGGCCACGTACGCAAGGCGTAGCTGACCACGCTGCTGTAGCTCACGAGCAAGGAAGTAGCGAAGAGCAATGTGCTTCGTTCTGTGCTCCAGTCTGTGCTCCCGACACAAGGCCATCATGGCCTTATTGTCGACGTACAGCACTGGAGGAGAACGAGGCGGCTCTCCGAGGTCAGTCAGCAGGTAGGTGAGCCAGCGAAGCTCCTGTGCAGCCATGGCCCCTGCGTAGATCTCAGCCTCACAACTGGAGCCGAGAACAGAAGACGAGCGGGTAGCCCGCCACGAGACAGAGCCGGAACCAAGGCTGAAGGTGTAACCCTGTGACGACCGCTGCGTAGCCTGGTCGTCAGCCCAAGAAGCGTCTGCGTGCCCAGTGAGGACCACTGGACTCTGCCCTCCAAGCACAAGCCCCATGCCCGACGTACTGCACAAGTAGCGCAACACCCTCTTCGCTGCAGCCATGTGCTCCGGTCTGTGTCTCCCAGGAGCAACATAGCGTGCGAGAATGCTAAGAGGGTATGCAAGGTCAGGTCGAGTGCAGGTCATCAGGTACATGAGGCAGCCAACAAGCTCTGGGTATGGGCCACTCGACTCTACGGACTCATCCGAAGGCAGAGCTGAGAGCGAGTGGCGAGTAGGCAGAGGAGTGGCCTGAGGCGAGGAGTACGTGAAGCCGAAGCGCTGAAGGACCTGCTGCACCATGTGTGACTGAGTCAGGGTAATGGTGCGGCGTGCTCTGTCCCGGGTGATCTGCAAGCCAAGGTAGCTGCGCAGTTCACCCAGGTCTGTGCACGTGTGTCTCTTCTGCAGCTCGGACTTCATGTGGGCGAGTCCAGCAGTGTCAGCTGTGGCAAAGACCAAGTCGTCGACGTACACGAGGATGTAGAACGGCGGCAAAGAAGTGTCGGTGCGCAGAAACAGCGACGGGTCGGCAGTAGAGGGAGCAAACCCAAGAGCCGCAAGCGTAGTCCTCAGTGTGTCGTGCCACTCACGCGGTGCCTGGCGGAGACCGTAGACTGGCCGCCGGAGGCTCCACTGGGTGCCAGGAGGAAAAGTCCCAGTGAAGCCAAGTGGGCGGCGCAGCCAGATCTCCTCGTGCAGGCTGCCCTGCAAGAAAGCAGTGCTGAAGTCAAGAGAGTGTAGCTCGTAGTCACGGTGAGCAGCTATGTGCAGCAGTACCCGAAGAGTGGTCATCTTCGGGGTGGGAGAGAAGGTCTGAAAGTAGTCAACTCCCTGCCGCTGACTGAAGCCACGAGCCACGTAACGCGCCTTGAAGACAGGCGGAGAACCCGGCGGCCGCTTCACCCTGAAAATCCACATGCCACTGACGATGTTCGCCCCAGGCGGGGGAACCTCGTCAACGTAGGTGCCTGTGGACTTCCAGGAAGCTATCTCTGCGTCCATAGCTGCCTGCCACTGAGAGGAGTAGGGACCCTCTATCGCCTCCGCGTAAGAACGCGGAGTCGGGATGTCAAGTGCATCCGGGTCTCCCTCAGGGGTAAGCAGTACGGACACGAGATGAGGTGAAGCAGTAGCCAAACACTGGAACTCCTCCTGTCTGTCCTCAAGGACGTCCGTGCCAAGGGCACACTCACCCCCGACGGACGGAGGACAGACAGACTCAGACGCAGCAACAAGACTAGCAGCGTAGTCTAGACGACTGCGAGCAGCAAAGTCGACGAGCTCAGCAACTAGGGCAGACGCAGTAGTGGACTCAAAGGAAGGGTCAGTGACAACAGTAGCAAGGAGACGCGTGACAGTCGGACTGGCAGCACGAAGGGAGTCCGACTCCGGGTCAGCAAGAGCAGGAAGAGAGGACTCAGGAGGAGAAGGCAAAGGGGCACGCAGAGGAGCAGTGGACGGACGGAGAGACATCCGGTGCGTGCCGGGCACAGGGGGAGGACGCTGACGCGAACCACGACCACTAGCGCGAGCAGCACGGATTGGCGACGCAGGACGAGACGCAGGCTCACGACGCTCAGCAAGACCTCCAGTAGGACCAGTG